CTCTCTCTCTCTCCCCTTTCCCTCCCCCTCTCTCTTCTTTCTTTCTTTCTTTCTTTCTTTCTTTCTTTCTTTCTTTCTTTCTTTCTTTCTTTCTTTCTTCCTTCCTTCCTTCCTTCCTTCCTTCCTTCCTTCCTTTCTTTCTTCCTTCCTTCCTTTCTTTCTTTCTTTCTTTCTAGATGATAGGCACAGGTTTCCAGGGTCTGTCGCAACTGGTGGCCAGGGGTCTTTCTAAGCTGACCTACTCCATGCTTTGCCTCCCTGACGACCTGCGGGACAGAGGAGTAGATTCGTTGCCCAACTATTACTACAAGGAGGACGGATTGAAGCTCTGGAGTGCTATAGAGAGGTGCGATCCCCATAGAAGGCAATGGGAGAGAATGACAATATGGCAGAACTGCAGGCTTGAGGAGGCGGCACTTTTCATTCAGGATCTAGTGTTTTTCAACCACAGCAGTTTTAAAATGGCTGGACTTCAACTCCCAGAATTCCCCAACCAGCGTGGGAATTCTGGGACTTGAAGTCCACACATCTTAAACCTGCTGAAGTTAGTGGGGGGGAAAAACACTCTTATAGTATGTCATAGTATCTTGCCTGCAAGTTAATCTCTAGATTGGAGATCTCGGCTTGCATGAAATAAGATTATTTATTTGACACACTTGTGGTTTCCTAGCTAATATGTGGCGAAAGCAGAGGTGGTATTCAGCCGGTTCTGACCGGTTCTTCAGAACCGGTAGTGGAAATTTTGAGTAGTTCGGAGAACCAGCAAATCCCACCTCTGACTGGCCCCGCCCCCATCTATTCTCCGCCTCCCGAGTCCCAGCTGATTGGCTGGATCTTCTTTGGTTGCCCTGCACAGGAGAACGGAGCTGGAAAGCAGGTTAGTGGGGTGGGGAGGGAATGGGATTTTGCAGTAATCTTCCCCTGACACACCCACCAAGCACGCCCACCAAGCCACGCCCACCAAGCCACATCATGCTCACCAAGCCATGGCCACAGAACCGGTAGTAAAAAAAAAAATGAATCCCACCACTGGGCAAAACTGATGGTTATCATTCCTTAGATCAGAATAGGCAGGGAATGCTGAATGCAGCCACAACGGGCAACCCAGTCTTACATTTTTGTCTGTTTTATTAAACCATGGTATGTGCCAGCTCTGATTTACAGAAGCCTTGCTTGGGCAAGGGGGGGTAGACTAGATCAGGGATCCCCAACCTTTTCGACGCCGCGGCCCGGTTCCGACATCAGCTGGGCGCCGCGGCCCGGTACCGGCGTCAACTGGGTGCCGCCATCTTTTTATGACGAAACAGCGCTTCCGGTGAGCTTTCTACCCAGAAAAGCTCACCAGAAGCGCTTTTTTACCAAAAAAAAGATGGCGGCGCCCAGCAACCAGCGGCCCGGTAAGGGTTGTTCCGCGGCCCGGTACCGGTCCGCGGACCGGCGGTTGGGGACCCCTGGACTAGATGACCTACAAGATCCCTTTCAACTCCGTTAATCTGTTACAATTTGTTACACCCAGGGTCGTTGATTGAGATGGGTAGCTCTAAAAAAAATGTTTAATAAATGAATAAATAATATTGACGGGCCCGAGAGAAAGCACGAGGAATTTAAACAGTGATCGGCATAAATAGAACTGGGGTTTAATACCTAGCAGTGGGTTGAATTTTTCCCTAATGGCTTCTTAGCTTTTCTACCATCCTGTTCTAACCAAAGCTTCCTGAGACTGTAATTAAGCACACATGTAGATAAAATAACTCTTGTTTTATTTCAATGTTAGGAATTAAGTTCATTCCCAGCCCGTAATGAGTCCCAAACAGTCCCTCGAGATAAGCACCCACCTTTCTCTCCTTTGAATTGCTGCCAACAACTAAAGTGCCAAATTAACTGTAAAAAAACCCAACAGAAATACAAAGTCCACACAGAGTTTCAAGGATTAATCTGAACAGAGTCAACAATCTTGCTTCCTGCAAAGGTTTCATCATCTTTGCCTGTCCTTTATCCCTTATGGGAGGGGCAATCACCTCCCAGCCTTACTCCCAAGTCGCCCCTTTTGTCTCAGTTGCTCTTGCCTTCTAGCAGTTCTGCGCACACACGCCCTGGGAACAGGCTCCCCTTGTTCCTCTGCCTCGCTGCTGCCGGGCTCCAGAGGCTGTGGAGTTAGCACACAACTCCCAGATGATCCTGGCCCCATCTCTACATTGGACACAGGATCTTTGTCCGAGTCCTCCCAGGCTCCTGGACTGGTCCCCGTTCTTCCCCACTGTCCAATTCCACTGCCGGCTGCACCAGCTGCCAGCGAACCACAACATATCCATTCGTTTATCAGACGTTCCTGCTGCTGTACTGCTGTTTAGGCAAATGTGAGTTTTTCTCTTGTATCCCAGGATTGACGGCCCTTCTGTTCCCCCTGCCCACCACCATGTTTTACATCTTTGCAGTTTTGTGTCTGGAATGATCGGCCTTTACTATCTGAGCGACGGAGCTGTGGAGAAAGATATGGAGCTACAGGCCTGGGTGGCTGAAATCTTTGAGAAATGTTTCCATCAGCGGCAATCCTCCGGTATAAAATTCTTTTTTCTCTCAAACCCACCACGATCGAGGTGTGAAATCAACAATGGGCCAGGGGCAGTTTAAACTGTGGGGTGTCCGATCTTGTCTGCTTGAAGACTTGTGGACTTCGACTCTCAAAATTCCCCAGCCTGCAAAGGTTCAGCAGGATTCAGCACATGGATGGGACACGCACAAATGTGGCTAGACTATTGCATTTTTTAAATAGGATAACTTTCTTAGTAGATAGTGGGAATGCAGACGATGTAATATATCTTGACTTTTTTTCACAGAGTGAAAAAAAAAGAGCTGCCTGGGGGATTGTGGGAGTTGAAGTCCACAAATCTTAAAGTTGTTAAAGTTGGACACCCCTGTTTGTGGAGATAATATTGCCCCCCACCCCACCTTAAAACTCTTTAGAAAGGGTACTCCGGGGTGATAGAGAACCCATCAAGTGGTTGGTTTGATTGTTTGTCACCTGGGAGGTGGGAATCTATTTCAATTTTATTGTAGTTTTATTTTTGTAAGCTGCAAATGAGTTGGGAGGTCCTATCAATTTTCTTAATAAACAGGTAATCCCATCCCACCAATATATATATATATATATTAAATTCTTCCAGGTTTCCCCGCACATCTTGGAACTGTGGCTGAGTTAACAAAGTATCTGACCATGATAATCTTCACCTGTTCAGCCCGCCATGCCAGTGTCAACAATAGCCAGGTTTGGAGGTCCTCTTTTCTTCTCCCTTAACTCTATGGGAGGATGGGGTGGGTTGAACCGTCCATCTGCCCCCTTTTCTCCAACCCAAGCTTTTCTCCCCATGCTAACTAGATATTATGAAAGGTAAGCCAAAATATATGGATGATATGAGATGGGTGGAAATCTCACTGTATGCATGAAAAAGGGGTTTAATAAACATGTCTCCATCTTGAAGATGAAGCTCCTTAGATGACTCCATGCTTGGAGATAAAGCTAGTTAGATGTCTCCATGTTTTGAAATGAAGCTCCTTAGATGACTCCATGCTTGGAGATAAAGCTAGTTAGATGTCTCCATGTTTTTAAATGAAGCTCCTTAGATGACTCCATGCTTGGAGATAAAGCTAGTTAGATGTCTCCATATTTTGAAATGAAGCTCCTTAGATGACTCCATGCTTGGAGATAAAGCTAGTTAGATGTCTCCATGTTTTGAAATGAAGCTTCTTAGATGACTCCATGCTTGGAGATAAAGCTAGTTAGATGTCTCCATGTTTTGAAATGAAGCTCCTTAGATGACTCCATGCTTGGGATTGGAGCTTTTGGATGATTCCATGCTTGGAGATGGAGCTACAAGTTTCACCTGTAGAAAGGCATCCCAGATAGCCAATGGAGGTCTCCTTTCTAGATATCTCCTCCAGAAAAAAACTCTAGAACGCTATCTTTTTCCAAGCAGGAGTTAAGGAATGGCTCCTAGTTCTGAAGATATTCTAACCTCCAACTTCCCCTCTTCTCCAGTTTGATTTCGGAGCCTGGATGCCCAACTACCCTTCCACCATGAGAAGGCCTCCTCCAGAATCCAAGGGCGGCATGACTTTTGCCGACATCCTGGAAACCTTGCCAGATGTCAGCACGAGCTGCCAGATGTTGCTCATCTTGTGGCTTCTCAGCCGAGAGCGAGGAGATAAGGTGAGGTGATATTTTCAGCATCGCAAGCCAAATTAAGGGGACCATGAGAGGAAAGGATTAAGGAGTGGCGCGGTGGCTTGGAGGCGGAGCTCTCGCCTCACAATCAGGAGGCTATAAGTTCGATCCTAGGCAGATATTTTTCTCTCTGGGTACAATGTTGTTTTGTTTTGCCGAACAAAACTCCGCATTGGCGACAGGAAGGGCATCCGGCCACTAAACACTCAGCTCCATTCAGTAGCCCAGACTCCATCTCGCAAGGGATGATGGAGTCATTAAATGATGATGATGGTGAGAGGGAAAGATTAAGGAATCTTTAATCACAATCTATAATTTAGCCATGGGGTTTTTAAATAATCCCACCCCCCGAAATTTGACAAATCAAGGTTGTGCTATATGTTTTTGTGATGCTGGTTGGTTTGATTTAAAGTGACATCTCGGTCCAGCCACTCTAATTTATAAACCGTGGTTTGCAAGCCCAAAAAATCCTAGTTTAGTTAATAAACCACAGTCAAACAAGCCATGTCTTAAGAGTGAAGTCTGAATTCAGTCCTGGCTTCTCAGTCTAAGTTACCTTGTGGATTGTTGTGAAGATAGACCTGGTTCTCGACTTACGACGATCTTATACAATCTTTTGAAATTACCACAGAACACCCCCCCAAAGGGACTTATGACCCCGTTCTGAAGTTCTGACGGTCCCCCCCCAAGGTCACATAATCACATTTTTGGAGCTAAGCAATAATCCCACATTGCCGTTTGCAATGCTCAAATCTCATGATCAAAATTAATAATGTTTTTGCCCCCCAAAAATACTCCAGCATTTGCTTCCAATTTTTGGCAAAAACACCCCCTAGCAAACAATGGGTTCACTTAACGACTGCATATTCATTTAGCAACCATGGTGATTCACTTAATGACCGCTGCAAAAAATAGCTCGTAAAATTGGATTGGTCATGTGGTGATCCTCGCTTTATGACTTGTCACAACGTAACAAGCCTAATAGGCTGGTTTCATTACAGTCGTAAGTTGAGGACCACCTGTAAAAGGGAGACAGAGGAAATTTGCAGCTCGCTTAGATTCTTCAGAGGAATGAAGAACTAACAGTAAAGTTAATTTTGGCCCATTTTACGACCTTCCATGCCACAGTTGTTAAGTGAATCACTGCTTCCGCATTGACTTTGCTCATCGGAAGGTCACAAAAGGGGAATCGCATGACCCTACTGCAACCGTCATAAGTAGGAGTCAATTGCCAAGCATCCAAATTTTGATCACGTGACCAGGGGGATGCTGCAATGGTCGTACGTGTGAAAAACAATCCCAAGTCGCTTTTCCAGTGCCATTCTTATTCCAAACGGTCACTAAATGAATTATTGTAAGTCAAGGACTGCCTGTATAAATCACATTCAGGTATTTACATAAAAACAGATAACAGATAATCAGAGCTGGAAGGGACCTTGTAGGTCATCTAGTCCAACCAGGGGTGGGATTCTACCAGTTCGCACCTATTCGCTAGAACCGGTTGTTAACATTCTAAGCAGTTCGGAGAACCGGTTGTTAGAAGAAATTACTGG